TGGGCCCCTGTACCGCCTCCTCATGCTGCTGCCAGGTCCAGAGTCTCTCATGGGTCCCTGTACGGCCTCCCATTGCTGCTGTCTCCATCGCCACACTCTGCCATGTGCCACTTTCAGGTCTCCTCACACTGCTGGTGTGTTCCATTTTTTTTTTTTGTCATAGGGTGCTGGCAGATTACGGGCCTCCCATTGCTGCTGCCAGGCCCGTAATCTGCCATGGGCCCCCGTACCGCCTCCTCATGCTGCTGCCAGGTCCAGAGTCTCTCATGGGTCCCTGTACGGCCTCCCATTGCTGCTGTCTCCATCGCCACACTCTGCCATGTGCCACTTTCAGGTCTCCTCACACTGCTGGTGTGTTCCATTTTTTGTCATAGGGTGCTGGCAGATTACGGGCCTCCCATTGCTGCTGCCAGGCCCCTAATCTGCCATGGGCCCCTGTACCGCCTCCTCATCATGCTGCTGCCAGGTCCAGAGTCTCTCATGGGTCCCTGTACGGCCTCCCATTGCTGCTGTCTCCATCGCCACACTCTGCCATGTGCCACTTTCAGGTCTCCTCACACACACTGCTGGTGTGTTCCATTTTTTGTCATAGGGTGCTGGCAGATTACGGGCCTCCCATTGCTGCTGCCAGGCCCCTATCTGCCATGGGCCCCTGTACCGCCTCCTCATGCTGCTGCCAGGTCCAGAGTCTCTCATGGGGTCCCTGTACGGCCTCCCATTGCTGCTGTCTCCATCGCCACACTCTGCCATGTGCCACTTTCAGGTCTCCTCACACTGCTGGTGTGTTCCATTTTTTGTCATAGGGTGCTGGCAGATTACGGGCCTCCCATTGCTGCTGCTGCCAGGCCCCTAATCTGCCATGGGCCCCTGTACCGCCTCCTCATGCTGCTGCCAGGTCCAGAGTCTCTCATGGGTCCCTGTACGGCCTCCCATTGCTGCTGTCTCCATCGCCACACTCTGCCATGTGCCACTTTCAGGTCTCCTCACACTGCTGGTGTGTTCCATTTTTTGTCATAGGGTGCTGGCAGATTACGGGCCTCCCATTGCCTGCTGCTGCCAGGCCCCTAATCTGCCATGGGCCCCTGTACCGCCTCCTCATGCTGCTGCTGCTGCCAGGTCCAGAGTCTCTCATGGGTCCCTGTACGGCCTCCCATTGCTGCTGTCTCCATCGCCACACTCTGCCATGTGCCACTTTCAGGTCTCCTCACACTGCTGGTGTGTGTTCCATTTTTTGTCATAGGGTGCTGGCAGATTACGGGCCTCCCATTGCTGCTGCCAGCCAGGCCCCTAATCTGCCATGGGCCCCTGTACCGCCTCCTCATGCTGCTGCCAGGTCCAGAGTGTCTCATGGGTCCCTGTACGGCCTCCCATTGCTGCTGTCTCCATCGCCACACTCTGCCCATGTGCCACTTTCAGGTCTCCTCACACTGCTGTGTGTTCCATTTTTTGTCATATAGGGTGCTGGCAGATTACGGGCCTCCCATTGCTGCTGCCAGGCCCCTAATCTGCCATGGGCCCCTGTACCACCCCTCCCTCATGCTGCTGCCAGGTCCCAGAGTGTCTCATGGGTCCCTGTACGGCCTCCCATTGCTGCTGTCTCCATCGCCACACTCTGCTCATGTGCCACTTTCAGGTCTCCTCACACTGCTGGTGTGTTTCCATTTTTTGTCATAGGGTGCTGGCAGATTACGGGCCCCCCATTGCTGCTGCCAGGCCCCTAATCTGCCATGGGCCCCTGTACCCCCCCCCTCCTCATGCTGCTGCCAGGTCCAGAGTCTCTCATGGGTCCCTGTACGGCCCTCCCATTGCTGCTGTCTCCATCGCCACACTCTGCCATGTGCCACTTTCAGGTCTCCTCACACTGCTGGTGTGTTCCATTTTTTGTCATAGGGTGCTGGCAGATTACGGGCCTCCCATTGCTGCTGCCAGGCCCCTAATCTGCCATGGGCCCCTGTACCGCCTCCTCATGCTGCTGCCAGGTCCAGAGTCTCTCATGGGTCCCTGTACGGCCTCCCATTGCTGCTGTCTCCATCGCCACACTCTGCCATGTGCCACTTTCAGGTCTCCTCACACACACTGCTGGTGTGTTTTTTTTTTTTGTCATAGGGTGCTGGCAGATTACGGGCCTCCCATTGCTGCTGCCAGGCCCCTAATCTGCCATGGGCCCCTGTACCGCCTCCTCATGCTGCTGCCAGGTCCAGAGTCTCTCATGGGTCCCTGTACGGCCTCCCATTGCTGCTGTCTCCATCGCCACACCTCTGCCATGTGCCACTTTCATGGTCTCCTCACACTGCTGGTGTGTTCCATTTTTTGTCATAGGGTGCTGCTGCCAGCAGATTACGGGCCTCCCATTGCTGCTGCCAGGCCCCTAATCTGCCATGGGCCCCTGTACCGCCTCCTCATGCTGCTGCCAGGTCCAGAGTCTCTCATGGGTCCCTGTACGGCCTCCCATTGCTGCTGTCTCCATCGCCACACTCTGCCATGTGCCACTTTCAGGTCTCCTCACACTGCTGGTGTGTTCCATTTTTTGTCATAGGGTGCTGGCAGATTACGGGCCTCCCATTGCTGCTGCCAGGCCCCTAATCTGCCATGGGCCCCCCCGTACCCCCTGCCTCCTCATGCTGCTGCCAGGTCCAGAGTCTCTCATGGGTCCCTGTACGGCCTCCCATTGCTGCTGTCCATCCATCGCCACACTCTGCCATGTGCCACTTTCAGGTCTCCTCACACACTGCTGGTGTGTTCCATTTTTTTGTCATAGGGTGCTGGCAGATTAGCAGATTACGGCCTCCCATTGCTGCTGCCAGGCCCCTAATCTGCCATGGGCCCCTGTACCGCCTCCTCATGCTGCTGCCAGGTCCCAGAGTCTCTCATGGGTCCCCTGTACGGCCTCCCATTGCTGCTGTCTCCATCGCCACACTCTGCCATGTGCCACTTTCAGGTCTCCTCACACTGCTGGTGTGTTCCATTTTTTGTCATAGGGTGCTGGCAGATTACGGGCCTCCCATTGCTGCTGCCAGGCCCGTAATCTGCCATGGGCCCCTGTACCCCCTCCTCATGCTGCTGCCAGGTCCAGAGTCTCTCATGGGTCCCTGTGTACCTCCCCCATTGCTGCTGTCTCCATCGCCACACACTCTGCCATGTGCCACTTTCAGGTCTCCTCACACTGCTGGTGTGTTCCATTTTTTGTCATAGGGTGCTGGCAGATTACGGGCCTCCCATTGCTGCTGCTGCCAGGCCCGTAATCTGCCATGGGCCCCCTGTACCGCCTCCTCATGCTGCTGCCAGGTCCAGAGTCTCTCATGGGTCCCTGTACGGCCTCCCATTGCTGCTGTCTCCATCGCCACACTCTGCCATGTGCCACTTTCAGGTCTCCTCACACTGCTGGTGTGTTCCATTTTTTTTGTCATAGGGTGCTGGCAGATTACGGGCCTCCCATTGCTGCTGCCAGGCCCCCTAATCTGCCATGGGCCCCTGTACCGCCTCCTCATGCTGCTGCCAGGTCCAGAGTCTCTCATGGGTCCCTGTACGGCCTCCCATTGCTGCTGTCTCCATCGCCACACTCTGCCATGTGCCACTTTCAGGTCTCCTCACACTGCTGGTGTGTTCCATTTTTTGTCATAGGGTGCTGGCAGATTACGGGCCTCCCATTGCTGCTGCCAGGCCCCTAATCTGCCATGGGCCCCTGTACCCCCTCCTCATGCTGCTGCCAGGTCCAGAGTCTCTCATGGGTCCCTGTACGGCCTCCCATTGCTGCTGCTCCATCGCCGCGCCACACTCTGCTGCCATGTGCCACTTTCAGGTCTCCTCACACTGCTGGTGTGTTTCCATTTTTTGTCATAGGGTGCTGGCAGATTACGGGCCTCCCATTGCTGCTGCCAGGCCCCTAATCTGCCATGGGCCCCTGTACCCGCCTCCTCATGCTGCTGCCAGGTCCAGAGTCTCTCATGGGTCCCTGTACGGCCTCCCATTGCTGCTGTCTCCATCGCCACACTCTGCCATGTGCCACTTTCAGGTCTCCTCACACTGCTGGTGTGTTGTTCCATTTTTTGTCATAGGGTGCTGGCAGATTACGGGCCTCCCATTGCTGCTGCCAGGCCCGTAATCTGCCATGGGCCCCTGTACCGCCTCCTCATGCTGCTGCCAGGTCCCAGAGTCTCATCATGGGTCCCTGTACCGGCCTCCCCCATTGCTGCTGTGTCCATCCATCCATCACCACACTCTGCCATGTGTGCCACTTTCAGGTCTCCTCACACTGCTGGTGTGTTCCATTTTTTGTCATAGGGTGCTGGCAGATTACGGGCCTCCCATTGCTGCTGCCAGGCCCCTAATCTGCCATGGGCCCCTGTACCCCTCTCCTCATGCTGCTGCTGCCAGGTCCAGAGTCTCTCATGGGTCCCTGTACGGCCTCCCATTGCTGCTGTCTCCATCGCCACACTCTGCCATGTGCCACTTTCAGGTCTCCTCACACTGCTGGTGTGTTCCATTTTTTGTCATAGGGTGCTGGCAGATTACGGGCCTCCCATTGCTGCTGCCAGGCCCCTAATCTGCCATGGGCCCCCTGTACCCCTCCTCACCCTGCCTCCTCATGCTGCTGCCCAGGTCCAGAGTCTCTCATGGGTCCCTGTACGGCCTCCCATTGCTGCTGCTCTCTCCATCGCCACACTCTGCCATGTGCCACTTTCAGGTCTCCTCACACTGCTGGTGTGTTTCTGCATTTTTTTTGTCATAGGGTGCTGGCAGATTACGGGCCCCCATTGCTGCTGCTGCTGCCAGGCCCCTAATCTGCCATGGGCCCCTGTACCGCCTCCTCATGCTGCTGCCAGGTCCAGAGTCTCTCATGGGTCCCTGTACGGCCTCCCATTGCTGCTGTCTCCATCGCCACACTCTCTGCCATGTGCCACTTTCAGGTCTCCTCACACTGCTGGTGTGTTCCATTTTTTGTCATAGGGTGCTGGCAGATTACGGGCCTCCCATTGCTGCTGCCAGGCCCCTAATCTGCCATGGGCCCCTGTACCGCCTCCTCATGCTGCTGCCAGGTCCAGAGTCTCTCATGGGTCCCTGTACGGCCTCCCATTGCTGCTGTCTCCATCGCCACACTCTGCCATGTGCCACTTTCAGGTCTCCTCACACACTGCTGGTGTGTTCCATTTTTTGTCATAGGGTGCTGGCAGATTACGGGCCTCCCATTGCTGCTGCCAGGCCCCTAATCTGCCATGGGCCCCTGTACCCGCCTCCTCATCATGCTGCTGCCAGGTCCAGAGTCTCTCATGGGTCCCTGTACGGCCTCCCATTGCTGCTGTCTCCATCGCCACACTCTGCCATGTGCCACTTTCAGGTCTCCTCACACTGCTGTGTGTGTCCATTTTTTTTTGTCATAGGGTGCTGGCAGATTACGGGCCTCCCATTGCTGCTGCCAGCCAGGCCCTAATCTGCCATGGGCCCCTGTACCGCCTCCTCATGCTGCTGCCAGGTCCAGAGTCTCTCATGGGTCCCTGTACGGCCTCCCATTGCTGCTGTCTCCATCGCCACACTCTGCCATGTGCCACTTTCAGGTCTCCTCACACTGCTGGTGTGTTCCATTTTTTGTCATAGGGTGCTGGCAGATTACGGGCCTCCCATTGCTGCTGCCAGGCCCCTAATCTGCCATGGGCCCCTGTACCGCCTCCTCATGCTGCTGCCAGGTCCAGAGTCTCTCATGGGTCCCTGTACGGCCTCCCATTGCTGCTGTGTCTCCATCGCCACACTCTGCCATGTGTGCCACTTTCAGGTCTCCTCACACTGCTGCTGGTGTGTTCCATTTTTTGTCATAGGGTGCTGGCAGATTACGGGCCTCCCATTGCTGCTGCCAGGCCCGTAATCTGCCATGGGCCCCTGTACCGCCCTCCTCATGCTGCTGCCAGGTCCAGAGTCTCTCATGGGTCCCCTGTACGGCCTCCCATTGCTGCTGTCTCCATCGCCACACTCTGCCATGTGCCACTTTCAGGTCTCCTCACACACTGCTGGTGTGTGTTCCATTTTTTGTCATAGGGTGCTGGCAGATTACGGGCCTCCCATTGCTGCTGCCAGGCCCCTAATCTGCCATGGGCCCCTGTACCGCCTCCTCATGCTGCTGCCAGGTCCAGAGTCTCTCATGGGTCCCTGTACGGCCTCCCATTGCTGCTGTCTCCATCGCCACACTCTGCCATGTGCCACTTTTCAGGTCTCCTCACACTGCTGGTGTGTTCCATTTTTTGTCATAGGGTGCTGGCAGATTACGGGCCTCCCATTGCTGCTGCCAGGCCCCTAATCTGCCATGGGCCCCTGTACCGCCTGCCCCCATGTACCCCTCCTCATGGGCCCTCCCATCCAGTGTCCTCACACTGCCATGTGCCACTTTCAGGTCCCTCACACTGTGGTGTGTTTCCATTTTTTGTCATCATAGGGTGCTGGCATGGGGCCTCCCATCCTGCTGCTGTAATCGGGCCTCCCATTGCTGCTGCTCCAGTCCACCTCATCATGGGTCACACTCCCATGCTGCTGTCTCCATGCCACACTCTGCCATGTGCCACTTTCAGGTCTCCTCACACTGCTGGTGTGTTCCATTTTTTGTCATAGGGTGCTGGCAGATTACGGGCCTCCCATTGCTGCCAGGCCCCTAATCTGCCATGGGCCCCTACCCCGCCTCCTCATGCTGCTGCTGCTGCTCCAGAGTCCAGAGTCCATGGGTCCCTGTACGGCCTCCCATTGTGCTGTCTGTACCCATCCCATTGCTGCTGTCCATCGCCACACTCCATGCCATGCCACTGCCATGTGCCGGTCAGGTCTCCTCACACTGCTGGTGTGTTCCATTTTTTTTTGTCATAGGGTGCTGGCAGATTACGGGCCTCCCATTGCTGCTGCCAGGCCCCTAATCTGCCATGGGCCCCCTGTACCGCCTCCTCATGCTGCTGCCAGGTCCAGAGTCTCTCATGGGTCCCTGTACGGCCTCCCATTGCTGCTGTCTCCATCGCCACACTCTGCCATGTGCCACTTTCAGGTCTCCTCACACACTGCTGGTGTGTTCCATTTTTTTGTCATAGGGTGCTGGCAGATTACGGGCCTCCCATTGCTGCTGCCAGGCCCCTAATCTGCCCATGGGCCCCTGTACCGCCTCCTCATGCTGCTGCCAGGTCCAGAGTCTCTCATGGGTCCCTGTACGGCCTCCCATTGCTGCTGTCTCCATCGCCACACTCTGCCATGTGCCACTTTCAGGTCTCCTCACACTGCTGGTGTGTTCCATTTTTTGTCATAGGGTGCTGGCAGATTACGGGCCTCCCATTGCTGCTGCCAGGCCCCTAATCTGCCATGGGCCCCTGTACCGCCTCCTCATGCTGCTGCCAGGTCCAGAGTCTCTCATGGGTCCCTGTACGGCCTCCCATTGCTGCTGTCTCCATCGCCACACACTCTGCCATGTGCCACTTTCAGGTCTCCTCACACACTGCTGGTGTGTTCCATTTTTTGTCATAGGGTGCTGGCAGATTACGGGCCTCCCATTGCTGCTGCCAGGCCCCTAATCTGCCATGGGCCCCCTGTACCGCCTCCTCATGCTGCTGCCAGGTCCAGAGTCTCTCATGGGTCCCTGTACGGCCTCCCATTGCTGCTGTCTCCATCGCCACACTCTGCCATGTGCCACTTTCAGGTCTCCTCACACTGCTGGTGTGTTCCATTTTTTGTCATAGGGTGCTGGCAGATTACGGGCCTCCCATTGCTGCTGCCAGGCCCCTAATCTGCCATGGGCCCCTGTACCCCTGGCCACCGCCTCCTCTGCTGCCAGGTCCAGAGTCTGCTCATGGGTCCCTGTACGGCCTCCCATTGCTGCTGTCTCCATCGCCACTTTCAGCCATGTGCCACTTTCAGGTCTCCTCACACACTGCTGGTGTGTTCCATTTTTTGTCATAGGGTGCTGGCAGATTACGGGCCTCCCATTGCTGCTGCCAGGCCCCTAATCTGCCATGGGCCCCTGTACCGCCTCCTCATGCTGCTGCCAGGTCCAGAGTCTCATCATGGTCCCCTGTACGGCCTCCCATTGCTGCTGTCTCCATCGCCACACTCTGCCATGTGCCACTTTCAGGTCTCCTCACACTGCTGGTGTGTTCCATTTTTTGTCATAGGGTGCTGGCAGATTACGGGCCTCCCATTGCTGCTGCCAGGCCCGTAATCTGCCATGGGCCCCTGTACCGCCTCCTCATGCTGCTGCCAGGTCCAGAGTCTCTCATGGGTCCCTGTACGGCCTCCCATTGCTGCTGTCTCCATCGCCACACTCTGCCATGACTTTCAGGTCTCCTCACACTGCTGGTGGTGTGTTCCCATTTTTTGTCATAGGGTGCTGGCAGATTACGGGCCTCCCATTGCTGCTGCCAGGCCCGTAATCTGCCATGGGCCCCTGTACCGCCTCCTCATGCTGCTGCCAGGTCCAGAGTCTCTCATGGGTCCCTGTACGGCCTCCCATTGCTGCTGTCTCCATCGCCACACTCTGCCATGTGCCACTTTCAGGTCTCCTCACACTGCTGGTGTGTTTCCATTTTTTTGTCATAGGGTGCTGGCAGATTACGGGCCTCCCATTGCTGCTGCCAGGCCCCTAATCTGCCATGGGCCCCTGTACCGCCTCCTCATGCTGCTGCCAGGTCCAGAGTCTCTCATGGGTCCCTGTACGGCCTCCCATTGCTGCTGTCTCCATCGCCACACTCTGCCATGTGCCACTTTCAGGTCTCCTCACACTGCTGGTGTGTTCCATTTTTTTTTGTCAGGGTGCTGGCAGATTACGGGCCTCCCATTGCTGCTGCCCAGGCCCCTAATCTGCCATGGGCCCCTGTACCGCCTCCTCATGCTGCTGCCAGGTCCAGAGTCTCTCATGGGTCCCTGTCCCTGTACGGCCTCCCATTGCTGCTGTCTCCATCGCCACACTCTGCCATGTGCCACTTTCAGGTCTCCTCACACTGCTGCTGTGTGTTTCCATTTTTTCATAGGGTGCTGGCAGATTACGGGCCTCCCATTGCTGCTGCCAGGCCCCTAATCTGCCATGGGCCCCTGTACCCTCCTCCTCATGCATGCTGCTGCCAGGTCCAGAGTGTCTCATGGGTCCCTGTACGGCCTCCCATTGCTGCTGTCTCCATCGCCACACTCTGCCATGTGCCACTTTCAGGTCTCCTCACACTGCTGGTGTGTTCCATTTTTTGTCATAGGGTGCTGGCAGATTACGGGCCTCCCATTGCTGCTGCCAGGCCCCTAATCTGCCATGGGCCCCTGTACCGCCTCCTCATGCTGCTGCCAGGTCAGAGAGTCTCTCATGGGTCCCTGTACGGCCTCCCATTGCTGCTGTCTCCATCGCCACACTCTGCCATGTGCCACTTTCAGGTCTCCTCACACTGCTGGTGTGTTCCATTTTTTGTCATAGGGTGCTGGCAGATTACGGGCCTCCCATTGCTGCTGCCAGGCCCCTAATCTGCCATGGGCCCCTGTACCCGCCTCCTCATGCTGCTGCCAGGTCCAGAGTCTCTCATGGGTCCCTGTACGGCCTCCCATTGCTGCTGTCTCCATCGCCACACTCTGCCATGTGCCACTTTCAGGTCTCCTCACACACTGCTGGTGTGTTCCATTTTTTTGTCATAGGGTGCTGGCAGATTACGGGCCTCCCATTGCTGCTGCCAGGCCCCTAATCTGCCATGGGCCCCTGTACCGCCCTCCTCATGCTGCTGCCAGGTCCCCAGTGTCTCCTCATGGGTCCCTGTACGGCCTCCTCATTGCTGCTGCCATGCAGTGTCTCATGGGTCCCTGTACGGCCTCCCATTGCTGCTGTCTCCATCGCCACACTCTGCCATGTGCCACTTTCAGGTCTCTCCTCACACTGCTGGTGTGTTCCATTTTTTGTCATAGGGTGCTGGCAGATTACGGGCCTCCCATTGCTGCTGCCAGGCCCCTAAATCTGCCATGGGCCCCCCGTACCGCCTCCTCATGCTGCTGCCAGGTCCAGAGTCTCATGGGTCCCTGTACGGCCTCCCATTGCTGCTGTCTCCATCGCCACACTCTCTGCCATGTGCCACTTTCAGGTCTCCTCACACACTGCTGGTGTGTTCCATTTTTTGTCATAGGGTGCTGGCAGATTACGGGCCTCCCATTGCTGCTGCCAGGCCCCTAATCTGCATGGGCCCCTGTACCGCCTCCTCATGCTGCTGCCAGGTCCAGAGTCATCATGGGTGCTGTAGGTCCACCATGCTGCATGCTCCATCGCCACACTGCCATGTGCCACTTTCAGGTCTCCTCACACTGCTGGTGTGTTCCATTTTTCATAGGGTGCTGGCAGATTACGGGCCTCCCATTGCTGCTGCCAGGCCCCTAATCTGCCATGGGCCCCTGTACCACCTCCTCATGCTGCTGCCAGGTCCACAGTGTCTCATGGGTCCCTGTACGGCCTCCCATTGCTGCTGTCTCCCCATCGCCACACTCTGCCATGTGCCACTTTCAGGTCTCCTCACACTGCTGCTGGTGTGTTCCATTTTTTGTCATAGGGTGCTGGCAGATTACGGGCCTCCCATTGCTGCTGCCAGGCCAGGCCCGTAATCTGCCATGGGCCCCTGTACCGCCTCCTCATGCTGCTGCCAGGTCCACAGTGTCTCATGGGTCCCCTGTACGGCCTCCCATTGGCTGCCAGGTCCCAGTGTCTCATGGGTCCTGTACGGCCTCCCATTGCTGCTGTCTCCCATCGCCACACTCTGCCATGTGCCACTTTCAGGTCCACCTCAGGTCTCACTGCTGGTGTGTCCATTTTTCATAGGGTGCTGGCAGATTACGGGCCTCCCATGCTGCTGCCAGGCCCCTAATCTGCCATGGGCCCCCGTACCACCCTCCTCATCATGCTGCTGCCAGGTCCAGAGTGTCTCATGGGTCCCTGTACGGCCTCCCATTGCTGCTGTCTCCATCGCCACACACTCTGCCTGCCATGTGCCACTTTCAGGTCTCCTCACACACACTGCTGGTGTGTTCCATTTTTTGTCATAGGGTGCTGGCAGATTACGGGCCTCCCATAGCTGCTGCCAGGCCCCTAATCTGCCATGGGCCCCTGTACCGCCGCCTCATCTCATGCTGCTGCCAGGTCCACAGGGTCCCTGTACGGCCTCCCATTGCCATGTCTCCATCGCCACACTCTGCCATGTGCCACTTTCAGGTCTCCTCACACTGCTGGTGTGTTCCATTTTGTCATAGAGTGCTGGCAGATTACGGGCCTCCCATTGCTGCTGCCAGGCCCCTAATCTGCCATGGGCCCCCGTACCGCCTCCTCATCATGCTGCTGCCAGGTCCACAGTGTCTCATGGGTCCCTGTACGGCCTCCCATTGCTGCTGTCTCCATCGCCACACTCTGCCATGTGCCACTTTCAGGTCTCCTCACACACTGCTGGTGTGTTCCATTTTTTGTCATAGGGTGCTGGCAGATTACGGGCCTCCCATAGCTGCTGCCAGGCCCCTAATCTGCCATGGGCCCCCTGTACCGCCTCCTCATGCTGCTGCCAGGTCCAGGTCCCCTGTACGGCCTCCCATTGCTGCTGTCATGCCATGCCATGTGCCACTTTCAGGTCTCCTCACACTGCTGGTGTGTTCCATTTTGTCATAGAGTGCTGGCAGATTACGGGCCTCCCATTGCTGCTGCCAGGCCCCTAATCTGCCATGGGCCCCTGTACCGCCTCCTCATGCTGCTGCCAGGTCCACAGTGTCTCATGGGTCCCTGTACGGCCTCCCATTGCTGCTGTCTCCATCGCCACACTCTGCCATGTGCCACTTTCAGGTCTCCTCACACTGCTGGTGTGTGTTCCATTTTTTGTCATAGGGTGCTGGCAGATTACGGGCCTCCCATTGCTGCTGCCAGGCCCCTAATCTGCCATGGGCCCCCGTACCGCCTCCTCATGCTGCTGCCAGGTCCAGAGTCTCTCATGGGTCCCTGTACGGCCTCCCATTGCTGCTGTCTCCATCGCCACACTCTGCCATGTGCCACTTTCAGGTCTCCTCACACTGCTGGTGTGTTTCCATTTTTTGTCATAGGGTGCTGGCAGATTACGGGCCTCCCATTGCTGCTGCCAGGCCCCTAATCTGCCATGGGCCCCTGTACCGCCCTCCTCCCCCCCATTGCTGCTGCCAGGAGCAGCAGGTCGCAGCATGTCAGTGGAGGCAAACGGCCACGGAGTAGAGCACCAGCTCCCCACTGCAGCCTACCACCACGGCCAGTAGTGGTGCCGGTGTGTGCACAGAGGAAGTAGCAGTCAGCCAGTGAGGAGTAGCGGGGGCAAAGTTTCCTACTCGGCGGTGTGTGGCAATTTTTCGTCAAGCCGCCCGAGGAAGTAAACGTAGCCGTATGTCGACTATGTGGCCAGAAAGTCAAGTGTGGCCAGGGGGCCCATGTTGGGACTACAGCGTTGCGTCAGCATATGCAGCGTCGCCATTCGGTGGCCTGGGAAAACCGTGATAAAGATACGGCGGTTCTGCCTGCCCCAGCCCAGGGTTCCATTTTGTCATAGGGTGCTGGCAGATTACGGGCCTCCCATTGCTGCTGCCAGGTTCACAGTGTCTCATGGGTCCCTGTACCGCCTCCTCCCATTGCTGCTGTCTCCATCGCCACACTCTGCCATGTGCCACTTTCAGGTCTCCTCACACTGCTGGTGGGTTTCCATTTTTTGTCATAGGGTGCTGTATGGCCTCCCATTGCTGCTGCCAGGCCCGTAATCTGCCATGGGCCCCCGTACCGACTCCTCATGCTGCTGCCAGGCCCGTAATCTGTCATGGGCCCCTGTTGTCGCTTGTTGGCATATTCCGCTCGTTCAGATGCTCCCTTCTCCTGCTACTCCTCTTCACGGATTCCGTCAGCAGTCTTTCTTGGAATCCGTTTCCAAGAGACAACAGTTTGCGAGCACGCACCCGACGGTGCAGAAGCTGAACGTCCTCCTGTCCAAGTTGCTGCTGCCAGGCTCGTAATCTGTCATGCGCCCCTGTACCGCCTCCTCATGCTGCTGCCAGGTCCAGAGTGTGTCATGGGCCCCCGTACCGACTCCTCATGCTGCTGCCAGGCCCGTAATCTGTCATGGGCCCCTGTACCGCCTCCTCATGCTGCTGCCAGGTCCAGAGTCTCTCATGGGTCCCTGTACGGCCTCCCATTGCTGCTGCCAGGCCCGTAATCTGCCATGGGCCCCCGTACCAACTCCTCATGCTGCTGCCAGGCCGTAATCTGTCATGGGCCCCTGTACCGCCTCCTCATGCTGCTGCCAGGTCCAGAGTGTGTCATGGGTCCCTGTACCGGCCTCCCATTGCTGCTGTCTCCATCGCCACACTCTGCCATGTGCCACTTTCAGGTCTCCTCACACACTGCTGGTGGGTTCCATTTTGTCATAGGGTGCTGTATGGCCTCCCATTGCTGCTGCCTCCACCGCCACACTGTGGCTCCACACTCTGGTTTTGGCCCCGTGACTGCCCAAATGAGTGAAGTGTGCGGTGATTCTAAGATCGACGGCACTCATCTGCATGTCATACTGACTGACAGTATTATTTCCCTTCCCCAGCTGACTCCAAGGGCATTTCAATTAAAGGTACAGTGTTCTGCACTAATATAAAGGCTCTCTGAAGCCTAGAAACACCCTTTTATAAGTTAAATTCGCAGCGAATATATTCGACTCGAATCAAAATTTTTTCACGAATTCGCTGAATCAGTCGAATCGAATTTTTGAATAATTCGCTCATCTCTAATAATAATTCTTGCGGCTCAGACCAAGTTTGAACCACAACAATATGAATGCTCCAATAGCGGGCACATTGAGTATGACTTGGCATGTGATTTGCACATGTGAGTTGCAAATCGTATGCAAAGTTGCACCCTATTGTCTGCTATTAGAGCGGCCACATGGGTGTGTTTCAAACACTGATTTCTAAAGTAGTACATGTACTACTTTAGTGGCAATTTGCATAGAGATCTGTGTCAGATGTCTTGAAAATTGCATTGAAATGGTCATCTTTACTGTAAGTCGCATGATTTCTAAATCAGCTTGATGTGATGGGAGTGTAATGTTTGTTGATGTTTGATTTCTGGAGTGTTTTGCAGATTGATGGGAAATCCCCCATACTAGCCAAATTGAATTGTCATTTTCCGGATTGCATGCAAGATGTGGTCATGTGACTGCCTTAACTCATGTGATAATCTGGAGGGAATTGTGACCATAGTAGCAATAAAGGTTCCCATTGGGACCCTTTCACATCCCTGTTAAATGTTCTGTTGTATGCTGCACAGGTACATTTCACTGTGGCTTTCTTTCTGACTCTGATTTGTGTGGCCTGTATACCAAGGGTTAATGCAGGTGGGAAGAGAATTAATGAGGTGCAAACACTTTCACTGACCAAATGAAGGACAGTGGTGGGTGTAGGCTTATTTGGGGGTGGGTCCTTGTTTGGCCTGCTCCAAATGCAACCTAGCTTATATAAAGACGTGCAGTAGTGTGTGATTTGGCCTGTTACTAGGCCGTGTGATTTTTGACCAAGTCGTTGCTTGTGGTTTGGGGAGGAAGAGATTTTGTGCTGAATTGCCCCCAGACACCTCTCAGGCTGTGTTTGGAAGTGGGCTGGAAATGTTTGCTTTTTGTTGCCTTCTAAAGTGTGTTTGTGTGTTATTGTACGATTGTGTTTTTTCTCTTTGCATTGAAAGCCTAACACGTCAATAGTTTTGTTTAAAATCTGCTCTTGTTTCAATTTTGCTTTTAGACTCCAATGCATTTTTCTGACAAACCTGTTGAGAAATGTATGTGTAGGGGATTTGTAGAGGTGGGAGGGGTTCATTTTTTTCACCTATGTCTTGTTCTATTGATATTTTGATCTGTAGCCTGTTTTGTGAATAGATCTTCATACTAAGTGATTGTGTATGTAAATTTTATGGGCCACAAAATGTTGCTTGATTCATCTTAACCTTTGTTTCCTGCTATAACCTGTGAAAGCACAGTTCATTAGAAGTATCTTTAGATTGTAAGCTCTTGTGAGCAGGAGCGTTTTATTTTAGCAACATCAATCCTGCTATTTTTTTTTTTTTTTTTTTTGTGACTCGCACAAAGAAATTGACTGTACTTGTTGCTGCTGTCCAAATAAATGAAGATGTATTTGATCAATAACTGCTTGAACTATGGGGTTTTTTTTGGTGGTTATTTCATGTTCAATATATTAACACCCCTAACACTTACTTTGCATACCTATATAATCTGCTCAAATGTAGCTTGTAACAGCGCACATATGCAAGTATGTCCAAACTGACAATAAAAAAAAAGCCCCCTATTGCACCACAAGACCATGTTATGTACCAATGAATAGGTCATGTTCAATGTGCAGCGAGCTATTGGTTTTCTCCAATTCTAGTAACAGTAATAAACTAGGCCCCACTGTATGTTGATTTTGGGCCTTTGGCAACAAATATATATATTAGCCAATGGTAAATAAAAATGGAATGAGAAATATATATTCGCGAAAGCTAACCTACAGCATGTGTGCATAGAAATATGCGATCGCGCACAAATGAATGCCAAGCGGCTGTGAGCAAGGCGCTCGAGCGGCTGTCATCACGGAAATACGTCATCACGTTCGCGCACATGCGGAATTGGTTGTGTGGAGTGTTAGTGGATGAGAGAGTGGTTGGAGGTTTGTGTTGCTGTGCCAGAATTTTTTTTGGATTTGCATTAGAAAATGTCTAGATCTCAATTCTCGACTGAGGAGATGATCCTTATTTGCAAAGTAAGTGTGGCCATTGCAAATATTGTCATAACATATGGGAGGGACAGGTAATTGCAGCTTTTTGGGTGGGGCCTAGCAGAATGTCACTTACTGTACATGTACATGCACATGCTACTTCCTGCTTATCTGTACATTAGCTCCTGGGTATTAATGGGTCACTGATATTAACCCCTTGCCTACTGAGCACTTATACTGCCTTCCTTACCAGGCCAATTTTCAGCGCTGTCGCAATTTGAATGACAATTGTGCGGTCATGCAACATTGTACCCATATGAATTTTTTTTTATCACAAATAGAGCTTTCTTTTGGTGGTATTTACTTGCCGCTGGGTGTTTTACTTTTTGCTCTAGAATCAAAAAATTTAATTTAAAAATATTTTCTTTGTTTCTATTATAAAATTTGGCAAACAGGTAATTTTCCTCCTTCACTGATGTGTGTTGATTAGGCAGCACTAATGAGGTGGCACGGATAGGCGGCACTGATGATGGGTACAGGGATGAAGGAATTCTGATCCTCAGGAGCAGATATCATTTTTGTCCAGGAAACTCATTTTAAGTCATCAGGCTCCTTTCGTTTTGCCACAAGGTTTTTTTCTCAATCCTATTTGGCCTTTGACCCACCTGGTAGGGCTGGAGTGGCAATACTGATCCGGACACATTGCTCCCTTCGGGTCGTCTCCTCCAAGGTCGATCATCATGGTCACTTCATTCTCCTAGAATGTATGCTTGGTGACACTCCCCTTATTTTGCTGAATCTCTATGCTCCAAATTCAGGTCAATTACAATTTCTTACACAAACTCTTGCCAAATTAGGCTCCTTCTCCACTCCACACATGATTATAGGGGGTGATTTTAATTTAATCCTTTCACCGCACAAGGATAGGAGGGTCCTCTTCGAGTCCGCTCCTTCGAAGCGGCAATGCTCCTCCTCGAAATCTTTTCGTAAGTTGATTAGGGAGCATTGTGTCTCTTTGATGCCTGGCGGATTCGTCACCCTACCCACAAACAGTTCATCTTCTACTCCACACCTCACCGCTGCTACTCCCGCTTAGATCATTTCTTCATTTCTGCTCCTCTTCTTCTGCTTCTAGTTTCTTCTGACATCAATCCTATTACATGGTCTGACCACGCCTCCCTGACCTTAAATTATTATTCCCCAATGTTATGCCAAAATCAGGCCATTGGCGTCTCAATGAGTCCTTCTTGACCACGGAACATCTCCATGCTGAGCTCTCACAGGGCCTTGATATGTATTTTCAACATAATGTAGGCTCTGTTCCATCTACCTCGACCGTATGGGAAGCCCACCAGGTGGTATTTCAAGGCCTTTGTATCTCCATGGGTTCTCGCCTGAAGAAATCCTCAGAGCATGCCAGGACTACCATAGTTCACCAGTTAACCCTAGCTGAATGTAGACTTCTCGCAAAGCCATCCATCCCTCGGCTGTATAAAGTGACCTCCCTACGTGACCAAATCAAAAACCCTTGATGCTTGTAAGTCCACAAAATCTCTCCTCTGGGTTAGGCAGAAATTCTATGAATTCTCTAACAAACCCCATCGTATGCTTGTCAATAGACTTAAAGCACAGTCCCCTTCTACATTGCCGGACCATCTTGTCCAGCCGAATGGGAGCCCTACTTACGATACTCGTGTGATGGTCTCCCTTTTTGGTTCATATTATGAGTCCCTTTACCTCTGTTTGACCCCAGACCTCCACCCCCCTCTTACAGACACTTCTTTTGATAGGTTTTTTAATCCCCTACTAATAACAAAGCTATCCTCTTCTGACATTGCGGCTCTTAATGCTGACATTACACCTACAGAACTATTTGATACGGTTAAACATCTCCCCTCACGCAAAGCCCCGGGACCAGACGGACTTCCCTACTCCTATTTACAAGATCTTCATTGCTATCCTAGATCCCCATCTTCTTTCTTTCTTTATCACGATTTTTTCAGAGGTATTGTTCCCCAAGCCGACTTTTCCCGAGCGTATATCTCTCTGATTCCCAAACCTGGCAAAGACCATTCCATCTTAGATAATTACCGTCCTATTGCTCTATTGAATTCTGATTATAAGATTTTTACTAAGATCCTCGCCAATCGGTTATCTAGGCTCATATCCAAGCTCATACACAGAGACCAAGTTGGCTTTGTTCCTGCCTGACATGCAGCGGATAATACCAGAAGATCTATTGATCTGGTTGACTTGGTTAACCGGTCCTCCATCCCTACTATTTTATTGAGCTTAGATGCCCAAAAAGCTTTTGACCGCCTCAGCTGGCCTTATATGTTTATGGTCTTGGAGAAGTTTGGCTTCTGTGGCCCTTTCGTGCCAGCTCTAAAAGCTCTTTATTCTCACCCTTCCTCACAGGTCAGACTAGCCTCCTTTCTTTCATTTCATTTCCAGATGTCGAATGGTACGCGGCAGGGATGCCCACTCTCTCCCCTATTATTTATCCTCTGTTTGGAAGCCTTGGCTATTGCAATCCGGGCCATCCTGACATAAGGGGGGTATTGTCTCATGGCCGTGAATACAAACTATCCCTATTTGCGGATGATATTCTCCTCACTCTCTAGAGCCCGTAAATCTCCCTCCTGGCATTAAATAAACTTTTACGACAATTCGGGACTCTTTCGGGTTACAAGGTTAACACATCCAAGACTGAAGCGCTCCCGCTCCACATTCCACCAGTTGTCCTCTCATCCCTTCAAGACACTTTTCCATATCGATGGTGCACCCATTCTATAAAATATTTGGGTATTAATCTTACCTCTTCCTACAGTTCTATTTATGATGCCAATTTTCCCCCACTATTCATAGCTATTTCCCGTTCCCTAAAGTTTTG